TAGATAAATGATTTATGTGGAAACATTAGAAATAACTCACTCACAATTTACAATGAGGAGATATCATTAATTATACACAAAAATAAATCACTGAGTATATATGGGGCAATTTAATGACAGGTATACTAGTATAAAAGACGGGAGATAAACACTTTAATCAGTAGCGTACTTATATACACCTGCGTCCGCCATATCACGGAACATCGCCATTACAACAAACAAAAAAGTCACATGTCCTTCGGCACGCTTCGTCTCATTCCGTGAAATCACGTCAATGAGAATGCCTTCAGGGGAGCTCTGATTGACATTATTTACTTGCACGTACATGTCTCAAGGCTTATTATTAACGAAACAATCTACACACCAAACGCGGATGGGTGATAATGATCGTATTGCCTCGTAACCATATACTGTTGATTACATCTGTTATACATAACACACAGATCGTCCCAGTACCGTTCTAAATAAATATCAGTATGTATATTAATATTTTAACGTTTTAGTCTTGTATTAATAAGTTCCCCATTTTTATGTGGATTTTAAGCAGTTATCGTGTCTCATAGGCCGTAGGGCCGGTTGTCTACATTTTTATTGTGAATTTTATCTGATTTTAACGGGACACGTTAATAAAGTATTTTCTTCTTCTTTTCTTCTTCTACTGACAACCAACGCATTTATACTGCCCATGCACAATCATTGGTCACCATGACCTTACCGTCCAGGCGTCAGTGCGATCCATCAAAGAAGCCGAATTTAATGTAGGTGTAAATAAATTTACCCATCCCTCATCTACAGAGAGAACGCTTTAAAAACCTGAAGGAATTTCAGGCACAGACCTTTCTGCTCTTAAAATAATAAACGCGGAGACTCGGAAGAACTTCGTAACTCGGCTACCCGGTCCGAGTTAGAATGTCCGGGTTAGAATATTGATCTTCAGTAACCCATGCTTGTCGTATTAGGCGACTAACGGGATCGGGTGGTCAGTTTCGCTGACTTGGTTGACACATGTCATCGAATCCCAATTGCGCAGATCGATGCTCATCCTTTTGATCACTGAATTGTCTGGTCCAGAGACCGCCGCCATATGAGAGAGGAGTGCGGGAAACTCACTCACGACTCGGCCATATTGAGGAGGCCATATTGAGGAGAGAATAGACACAGTATATAACCTCCATTGGAGAGAGAGAGAGAGAGAGAGAGACCGGAGGGAGTAATAGAGTGAGTTGGCCACAGAGAGAGAGAGAGAGAGAGAGAGAGAGAGAGAGAGAGAGAGAGAGAGAGAGAGGAGGGAGAGAGAGAGAGAGAGCCAGAGAGAGAGAGAGAGAGAGAGAGAGAGAGAGAGAGAGAGAGAGAGAGAGAGAGAGAGATCCGATGCATCAAGCATTCCAGATAAGTTCCACCAGCCATCACAAACGTGTCCTCTGGGATTAATGTCAACGGGTCATTCATTTTTATATATAAAATTCAGCATATTTTTTAGTAATCTGTCACAAAATATAGTGTCCTATACACAAACAAACTGAGATGGCCACTAATAATTTTGATAATGCCTATTGTTATTTTATCCCTATTCACGAGTCCAGTAGAAGTTAAAAAAGAACAGGAATTTGAACACAGGAAATGATACAAACAGTGTTTTCACTCCTAAGATTTCACAGTTTGCATTTACACCCGGTCACCCCCGACAACATCAATGGCAACGTTGTTATCAGTGACGCAGTTTTCGTCGTCACACCCGGTGCAGTTTATCACGAGGTCTACGTGTTTACCACATACTTCCAGCCTGCTGTCACACAGGCTTTTTCTTCTACGTCCTGGAAACTTTATAAGCATGCAAGCTGTGATCAATATTATGTGTCGCTGAAATAACAGGCTTTTAGCCTACCTGGCTGGATTAGATTTGCAAATTATATCTGACTGCGAAGTTTTATAACGATATTAATATTCATGGACAATAAATATCTAAATGACCGGAATCTCTAAATGTCGAGATGCTTTGTTCCAAACAGGGTCCTCCGATTTATATATAATGTGACGACAACGGTGATGATGGCGACGTTGCTTGTGACGATTTATGACGGACGTGATGTTGCACAGTAACAGTTTATGTTGGAATTGGCATAGGCTAACACCCAGTCTCTGAATATATATTATTTTGATTTAAACAAACAATTGCATTTAAATTGAAAGGGAGCTCATGTGACATGGGAGATTCGGAACCTGGGGAATCTAATCTTACTTCATTTAGGGCTTTAGCATTACAGAAAGGAAAATAATGAGACAGGCTGAGTTGGCTGTGATAATAATAGTTCTTTAGTGAGTGAGTGAGTTTACGCCGCTTTTGGCAATATTCCAGCAATATCACGGCGGGAGACACCAGAAATGGGCTTCACACATTGTACCCATGTGGGGATTCGAACCCGGGTCTTCGGCGTGACGTGCGAACGCTTTAACCACTAGGCTACCCCACCGCCCCTATCCGTTATGAATGTAACGGTGTATTTCGGAATGTTTATCCCGGTATGAGGCAATAAAATCATAACAACTAATTAATGTATTCGTATTAACCACTTAGCTTCCCCAGCGTCCCATAGTAGTTCTTCAAAACACTGAATATGAAATTCTGTTCCATCATAATAAAGAATGCATGTGATTATGCATTAGGCTTTTGTTGTTACTTTTTTGGTTTTGTTTTGTTTTGTTGTTTTTTATATAGGGTTCAAGTATGCCCGAAAGAATTTTTAACCGTACGTAACGTAAAAGACATAAAAGACCGTAGTGTCTATAATACACAAGAACTTAGTTCAGCACCCCTGACATATCTCACGATGGAGGGGCGGTGGGGTAGCCTAGTGGTTAAAGCGTTCGCTCGTCACGCCGAAAACCCGAGTTCGATTCCCACATGGGCACAATGTGTGAATCCCATTTTTGGTGTCCCCCGCCGTGATATTGATGGAATATTGCTAAAACCGGCGTAAAACTAAACTCAGTCAGTCTCACGATGGAATGAGCCACGATCTTAACCCTTTGGATTGGTAGTTGTGTGCAACAAAAGGATCCTCCTGTACAGTCCCTGGCCCGATTGGAAGCTGCTTTACTCGAGGAATGGCGAGGACTGCCCCTTCAGAGGATCAGGAGGCTGACAGGGAGTATGAGGAGGAGAGTGATAGCTGTCATACAGTCACATGGAGGTTACACTGATATTGACCTTGATTCGTGTAATACACGCAAAATGACATTTTGAATGTTCACATTCACCAATAAATTCAACATGAAACATTCCAGGGCCATACTTATACAGACATGGTTTAGTATGAAAATCAGTTGTTGTTTTTGTTAACTTGAGCAATTGTCATAAGTACCAACATGGATTCCAATCATTATGTCGTTTCTTATGAGTCAAAGGATCATACGGTCCAGAAAAACCTTTTCCATCGTGGTCACCAAGAGAAGTTTTATGTACGTGTTGAAAACCTATCATTGCAAATATACAGGGAGTGCGTAACTATGTTCTTTGTGTATATTATTGTACTGCAATGAATGCTGCGTGTATATTTTCCTTCTATCCTAGTCCAAACACACGAAACAAGCTATATAGCTCTGAAGTAAGGGGTTACAGCAATATGATAGTATTGAAAACGTTATGAATATTAATTTCATTGTTAACAGATACAAACACATTATTATTATAGAATCTGGCAATCTGAGAGAGAGAGAGAGAGAGAGAGAGAGAGAGAGAGAGAGAGAGAGAGAGAGAGAGAGAGAGAGAGAGAGAGAGAGAGAGAGATCCGATGCATCAAGCAACTCTTCAGTAACCCATGCATGTCGAGGCGACTAACGGGATCGGGTGGTCTCGCTCGATGACTTGGTTAACACATGCCATCGGTTCCAAATTGCGCAGATCGATGCTCATGCTGTTGATCACTGGATTGTTTGGTCCAGACTCGATTATATTTACAACCGCCTGGAATAGCTGGAATATGGCAGAGTGCGGCGTAAAACTAAACTCACTCACTCACTCTTTCTCTCTCTCTCACACACACATACATACATACATACATACATACACACACACACACACACACACACACATACATACATACATACATACATACATACATACATACATACATACATACATACATACATACATACATACATACATACATACATACATACATACATACATACAATGTTTCAAATATACATACATATATAACAGTTGCTTACTGTAAGCAACTGTTATATATCTGCAAGCAATTGAGTTTATATAAAGTAACGGGTCATGCGTGTCAAATTAGTCGCCGATTTAAACTGTCATCCTTTCATTTTTTCATTTTTAGTGACCATTTCAGCAAATAATAGTTTTGCATTATTATCATCATTTATATTTCGACTTTCCACCCTACATACATTGTATATTTAAAAATTAAAAACTTAAAGAATATTCAATGCCTTTCAGAACGTGGTCACATGCAAAATATATCATGTAAGGGGTTATTAGACCTTCCCAGTCAAATTACAGATTCAAAAACTAGAACGTATCTTAAAAACATTAGATTTGTCATTATTGTTGAGCTAACTCACTAAGTAAAAACAGGAAAAAGTTAAAACGCTAACAAAAGTGGAAATAGCAGTTTTAATAAACCATATACTAATTGAGATAGGATTTTCTCGACAGATATATCTGTAGACTGAACGGGTTTGGTTTGACTCTGTGTAAATATATATATTCTATATCAAGCCCTTGAACTGAACCAATTACAGACGATCGGGTCCTTCGTATTTGTCTAGACATGCCTCACATAACTCTTTGTTATAGGTATTTTTTAGTCCAGCCTTTTGTCTCTTTGGTGGCGCGATCCCGTTGATCTGACCTAGTTACTGGCGATCAGCTGCGGGAAATAAACAAATTCACGTGGTATCTGTTTCTATTTTTAGGATGCTACTCACACCAATCAAATCTCTCGAAACAGGTCATGTGACACCGATGAACAACAATGGTGCGCGATGCCTACATGTCAATTGGAACAGAACTGCAGAAACTGAAAAGGTGATACAGTCGACTGTGGCTAGATATTAATACAATGGATGTCTTCTGAAGCTGCGACCAGAGTTTACAGACAATATACCGCCATGTGAGAACGTATGGCGAGCCATACGGCGGAACAGACATAGGTGAACTCGTACATTCAGATACACGTAGTCCGTGTATACTGTATCTTGCAATCTGCTTCGCGAGAAGATATATCTTCAACGGTGATTAAGCAATTAAGCTGCTCAACATGGGATTTTTTCACCAACTGAAACTATTATTATGGAAGAATTTCACTCTGAAGATTCGGAGGCCGGTGAGTAAGGTTGACAGTGGTGTTATCAGTATGTCACGAGTATTAAAATTGCTCAGAGCTGTTGACATTGGTAGCCTTATATCGAGGTTTAGTCACATCGAACGAGCTCCAGCGAAGGTTAACCGAAGTCATAGGAATGATATACCTACATATCGAACTCATTGATCAGGGTTCTGGGAACTGATGAGCTCTAGGTCGTCGATGAGTCGATAATTGTGACGTTTTACGATAATCATGTAAATAGACTCCGTTATAATTAGGCATTATCAGCTGGTTGAAATGACACAGCTATTCAGTGTTATGGCGAATGATAATATTATGACAGAATAGAACTTTAAAACAGTAGAATACAGATTTAGGTTCAAATATATAACCAATGCACCTTATTTGCTCATGCCATCGACTACTGGGTTATTTGGTTAAGATGTACTTACATACAAGTTCACTAAATCTGATATTTAAGACATGTTTTCTGTCAGTACCATAAGACACATTCACTACCTGCTGTGAAAATAGTATGAGGAATTCTAATTTCAGTGAAAAATTATGAACTTTATCATGACGAAAGGGTTGTTATCAGCACCGGTAATACAGATATGTCAAAAACAGAAGTCAGAGCATTATCTTATTGTTGTCTGACTGGAAGATAAGGCTATATTCCGCTACCAGAAGCCAAAACTAGTTCTTGTTGTCATTCCAGTTCACAGGCTATGAATTTACACTGTATCATACTTTACATTGTACAGAATTTAAGACTTTCCAATCCACAAAGGGATCGTTGGATAAGTGGCTACAACCAGTGTAAGTCTATGTTATGTCATGGGACTACAACCAGTGTATGTCTATGTTATACCATGGGACTACAACCAGTGTAAGTCTATGTTATGCCATGGGACTACAACCAGTGTAAGTCTATGTTATACCATGGGATTGCAACCAGTGTAAGTCTATGTTATATCATGGGACTACAACCAGTGTAAGTCTATGTTATACCATGGGACTACAACCAGTGTATGTCTATGTTATACCATGAGACTACAACCAGTGTATGTCTATGTTATACCATGGGACTACAACCAGTGTAAGTCTGTTATACCATGGGACTACAACCAGTGTAAGTCTATGTTATACCATGGGACTACAACCAGTGTAAGTCTATGTTATACCATGGGACTACAACCAGTGTAAGTCTATGTTATGCCATGGGAGTTGCGGTCACCTTAGCACTGAAACGCTTCATGCAACCGGACCCTGAAAAGTGTTCAGAGTGAAGGAACTGGTTAGGCACACTGCTCAATGGACCAATACCATGATCTGTATTCTGATAATTGTTTGGGGTTTATTTCTTATACAGTAACGAAAGTAAGGTACACATCTGTGATTTCTGTGCCATCAATGACCTTTTCATCCATATTTATTGCACATTAAGAATTGTATTCCGAGGAAAATTCAATTATTAAATTTCAGTTTGGCTTAACCAATCTTTCTTATCGTATAATGCCCTTTATATCTGTTAACAACAGAAACATTGAAAAGATAAAGCTAATGGCTTGAGACAAGCTAACATGGCACATTTGTTCATGATGAACTAAAAGTATTAATATTGATAGTCCAAATTTTCTGTAAACCTAGAAATGGAAAAGTCAATCCCTATTAACCTCAGTTCTTTCGAGTCATTATTTTTATCTTTATTGTTTTTGCAAATATGAAATACAATTTAATCACACAAAATTAACAATTCCACCTGAAAGAAAGGAACTTATTTATGTAATACTGTCTTTGTTGACAATGACATTGATCATTTTAATTGTGTTTCCACAATTAGTTTTCAAATCATTTTGTTTCACTGAACAGCTGCTGAATAATTACTAAATATGGCAAGGAATTGATTTGAAAATTGAAGAATTAAATCTGATCCCTATTTAGAGCTGATAGGGTGTGAGTCAGATGAAATTAGATGGCAACTGTCTCAACATCCGAACCCATGACTCACAGGTTGGTTCAATGGATGCCCTTTTCCAGCAGTTTCCCCAACATGATAAAGAACGGCCTGGATGATAGTATTATTCACAGAGTTTTCAGTGTCATTTTAATTTGTTGGATATCCAAATTATCCTATGCCCCTGCTACGCCTTCTGCTAAATCTGTAAGAGATTCAGAGAATAATCTACCGAAACATATTTCTCTAGATGTAAAAGTGAAAATAATGGTGACAAAGATATAAATGGGTCTTTCAATTTAATGATGACACCAGGTGTTCATTAATTTTGCTAAGAAGCTAAGTGACACCTGCATGACTTTAGCTGTGGGCTTTCATCCCACAGGGGCAGTCACCAGGGGTAGCCTGGTGGTTAAAGCGTCCACTCGTCAGGCCGAAGACCCGGGTTCGGATCCCCATATGGGCATAATGTGTGAAGCCCATTTCTGGTGTCCCCCACCGTGATATTGCTGGAATATTGCTAAAAGCGGTGTAAAACCATACTCACTCACTCACTTTCCTCCCAGTCCCACCTCCAGCTGACATGCCAAATATGACTGGTATACTGTTAAACCCATTTCTCTCTCTCTCTCTCTTCTTCCTTTCTCCCTGTTTCCTTCCGTATCTTTCTCTTCCTCCTTCCCCCCTCTCTCTTTCCCTGTCTGAGAAACAAGCAGATAGTTACATATGTAGGTATCAGTTTTGCATCCATCTCTTTTTCCTTCCCTCTCCCCCACTCCCCCACCACCCTCTCTCAGACAAGCAGGCAAATAGATACATATATAGGTAACAATTTTGCATCCACCTCTCTCTCTCTTTCTCTCTCACTTTCTTTTCTTTCTCCATTTCTTTCTTCCCCACCCGCTCTTTTTCAGAATAGAAATTTTCTACAATGTGTAACAGTGTACTAACACACAATATATCATGTCTAGACTTTGATGCATTTGAAGAGTTCGAATGCCTGTTGCCTTTTTGCATTGTACTGGACTCATGAATAATGATGACAGATTTTTCAAAATAATTTTTAGCCATTCTCAATTTGTATGTGTGTAGGACACACTATTTTGTGACAGATTATCCAAAACAGATGCTGAATTAATATGATCTGAAGGACTATAAACAAAAATGGACGACCCGTTGACATTAATCCCAGAGGACATGTTTGGGATGGCAGGTGGAACTTATCTGGAATGCTTGATGCATCGGAGCACTGTTGTTGAGCTGAATAATTAGCATCATCATAACTGTCCAATTGAGGACATTGCTAGATGATCAAGGATTAAGATGTGTTGGTATGTTTGCAGTTCAGATCTGGGTGGAACATTGACCTTGAACTTTTGAACCCCTTTTATCTACCTGAATGTCAGGACTGTTTTGTTGTTTGCTATGATTAGGTCAGTGGTTAGTTTGCTTGTCCTGACATAGAAAGGCCTTGGTTTGATTCCACAAATGAGATGTGTACAATGTTTTGGGTGTTAGTATAGTGGACAGTGTGCTTGCCAGTCACACATAATTCTAGGGTTTGATTCTGTACATGAGATGTATACCAATGGTTATGTTCTTGATTACGTAGCAGCCTGTGTGTTTGCCAGTCAGACATAATTCTTGGGTTTGATTCCACAGTGGCGTTATCGTGATAAGGGATACAAAAGTTGTGGATGATTGTTAGTGTAGTGGTCAGTGTGTTTGCCAGTCTCACATAATTCTTGTGTTTGATTCCACACATGCATGATCATGATAAGGTGCTCACCATATCAATCACTGGTTTGTCTGGTCCAGATGTAATATTTTGATAGCTGCTGACATTTGTGTTGATAATTTCAAAGTGAAATGTTAATAAAATTATTATCGACTGTTACTGTTTATTTCATGAAAATTTTATAAAGTAAAATAAAATAATCTTATACGACCCCGAATAATTTTGTTATAGTGTTCTAAATCATCACTACTCAAGCAGCATATATGATTTTATATTGAACAGTAGGTGGAACCTGCTTTTGGTGCAACATGGTTATTTCTGAAGGTTGCACAAGGTGCAAGTAGGTTTCATGTCCTTAAATCGAGCCCAGAACAATAGCCCATTGTTTTCATACTACATGTATGCTTCTGCTTTGGCTCCTGAAAATAAAAATAAATTGCCAATGAAGATCCAGGTTAGAATTGGTCTTCAAGTAACCCATACTTGTCGCAAGAGGTGACTAACGGGATCGGGCTCTCTGACTTAGTTGACACATGTCATTGTATCCCAAATACGTAGAACGATGCCACATCCCAACATGCTAGTGACTGGATATTGGGGGTGATGGATGAGGCATCAGTCACCGAGTGTGCTGGCTAGCTGAGGCATGTGTAGTGCAGATGGACAGTATTCGACAATAGACACGGCTATAAATACCACAGTAAGACATGCTATATCTGTATGGCTACCACCATGCCTGCTTGATTAATCACGTGCGACAGGACCGTCAATTCTCTACATGCATAAACTTGAAATGTTTGATGGTCACCACTTATACCATAAACCGAAAGAATAGTTGACCAGGTCATGCTTTGTTCATGTTTTACTTGACCGATTGAAGAGCCAAGTATTTTTCCTGATGTATTCATGGTTTACGGGTTGGTTTGTTTTGTTTGACTCAAACACCAACCATGCGAATAGCTAATGAACAATTTGAGTTGGCGGCAAAGATGAAAACTAACAATGTTTTTGATATGCTACATATTTTAGGATCAATGTAATGGAACAAGGATTCATTTAAGGCTTGGATGGTTACTATGGTTACCTTGGTTACCTGGACTGAATTGAAATATCTTGACCAGTGACTGTGTTACCATGACAGTTGACCTGTGTTTATATGTTGGTTTGATGAAGGAGACTTGTAGATAATCTAGTCTGGGGGGAGTGAGTTGGGTTTTATGACGCTTTTAGCAATATTCCAGAAATATCACTGCAGGGGACGCCAGAAATTGGCATCACACATTTGTACCCATGTGGGCAATGGAACCCGGTGTAACAGGCCAG